TCAACGGGGAATAGGGCCGGGGCCCCGCCCCTCCCCCCCCCCCCCCCCCCATACTATTTGAATGGACAAAGATTAATAGGAAGTCAAGTAAAAGATAAATCGGCTCTTCAACATTCTCGATTTATTCCCAGGCATCCGATATCAAGAAAAAGTTTTGAAATTATTATTTTTTTCCTTGAAGTATGTTTTGGGAAACTAATAAATTCGAGTATTTTTTTTGCAGATCATTTCAAATATTTTGTCTATTAAATACTTTAATAAAACATTAAAAAAGAAGAAAAATAAAAAGAAGAGTAATTTGGTGTTTTTTAGAGTTTATATATCGAATCGATTGTAGTTTAAAAAATGAGAAAATGAACATTTGTTTGTCTTTTTTCTTTCAGTTAATTTAACTAACTACAGAGTGTAAAAAAGATCATTCAAGTGGAATTTCAATGATACATACACGCCTACCGGGAAGAATTTACGTAATCTAGTACATCTTCTTGTTTCTACTTTACTGTAGATTTTATATTTCCTTCACTGTTAATTTTCTTTTCCCACCCTCTCGCGGGAGTTTGGCTTCGAAAAGAACTGTAACGCTTTTTTTTCTTCTTCTCTCTCTTCTTTGTTACTAGTTGAAAAAACAACATTAATATGATTATATCAGGGAATGACTCTATCTAAAGACGAAAATATGATTACACAATTTATTAGTGAAAACTATCGATGATCATGTTGAGAGAGAATGCTCACTTTACTTATGGACTCCATACAAAATAAAATAAATGAAGCCTAGCAAAATGTGAAAAGGAGGGTGACGAGGTGAAAACAGTGTATAAAAAAAAATGAAAAAAAAGAGGAAGACTTACGTAGAGTAATTATCTGATATTGTATAGATATGCAAGATCTATATCAAGAAGAATAAATAAACAAACAATTAAAATTTCTTTAATGGTGTAATAACACTTAAGAGAGTAATATAATACCCCCCAAAAAAAAGTTGATCTATAGAAATGCAAAAACTATATATTAATTTTCTGTTTTAAAATTAAAAAATTTGATAAATTTGTTACAATTTACATAGACTAAAATATTTGTTGAATACTGACTGACCGACTGACTGCTGTATGCTGAGTATAAGATATGACTGATAATCTTAAAAGAAGTTAGAAATGATGGCAGTGTGACTTTTTTGTTGTTTCGTGATATGAATGATGAAAGGAATGCTATTAATACAATTTGATTGTCTAATGTAATCTGAAATGAAATGTATATTGTTTACACGCAAAGTTTGTTGATATTTTTAACTCATTTCTTACTTCTTTTTTATCATAAATTTTCTTTTTTATGTTAGCGACATTCGGAGACGGAGAAAAATTAATTTTTGAAGTAGACACTGATTAAATGAGACACGAAAACCAATTTGGCATACGTTTTTGTTCCATTATCAATGAATACAATTGATATAACTGTAACTCTATCTGATATTTTACTACAAAATGTTTAAAGAGAAATATTTAATAAACTTTAATAAATCATAGAATATTCCTTCAAAAGAGGTTTTTTACTGTCAAATAGATCATGTTCTAGCGTAGTATCTCTTGAATAGTTGACACAGTATACAGATCATATTATTTGTGATTCAAAGGTATTTAAAGATATCCTTTAGTATGACGTCATATCTATTTTCTTTTATCATTGTTATTTGTTTTGATTTTAGGATTTTTATTATTTAAAGAATATTGTCTCAGTATTTGTGATGAACCAGTACCACAACTCAAATTCTATGAAGAGGTAGATGTTTCGAACGGTTTTGTTGATCTCAAACATATGATAATATATATTTTATTAATTATTTTAAGATTAAACGATTTGAAAAATTAGAAACGGATGAAGAAAGGTGGAAAATAGGAAAAGAAATTTATGATCAATTTATTATGAAAGAATTATTATCAAATTCTCATGTAGGGGTTTTAAAATTTTTAGAACTGTTTTTATTTTTTGTTTTTTTGCAATATTATACAAATTGTGGATAGAACGGAAAATACACTATAAAAATAAGAAAAAAATGACAATATATTATATTTTAATTAAAAAGTTTTATTTATTTTTTTATTTAGACTTATTCTCAAAAAGCCGTCGATAGTGTACAGAAACATTTATCAAAATATAATCCAAATAATCCAAAAAATTCGTTACCATCTAGTTTATTTGAACCATATAAAAAAGAAATCTGTGATCTACTCAGGGGACGAATATTTGATAAATTTATGGAATCAGAAAAATATGCGAGATTTTGTCAATGGAAAAATTTAGAATTAAATATACAGGTAAACATAAAATAAATGAATTATTTATTAAATTAAATTTTATATTTATTTTATATTTTAGTTGACAATGAATGATTTTAGTGTACACAGAATTATCGGACGTGGTGGTTTTGGAGAAGTATACGGTTGTAGAAAAGCAGATACGGGAAAAATGTACATTTAACTCAATTTCCTTTCTATTAGAGAAAGAAAAATATGATCATTTTTCTTCTATCTTATAGGTATGCAATGAAATGTTTGGATAAAAAACGTATTAAAATGAAACAAGGTGAAACACTAGCGCTCAATGAAAGAATTATGTTATCACTTGTCAGTACTGGAGTAAGTGTTAGAATAAATTTGTAAAATTTGTTTTTTTCTAAAAAAAAACAACAACAAAAAATTATGTTTATTTTCGATATCTACTTTTTTTTTAGGAAGGCTGTCCATTTATTGTTTGTATGACATATGCATTTCACACTACAGACAAATTATGTTTTATTCTTGATCTCATGAATGGTACGTTCTCCCACCTTTTTTATTTCTCTTTCTCTCGCGTGACACTATTTTTATTTTTTTACTTTGTCATTTCATTATTGTAGGCGGCGATTTACATTATCATTTATCTCAACATGGTGTATTTAGTGAAAAAGATGTAAAATTTTATGCAGCCGAAATTATTTTAGGATTAGAACATATGCATTTACGATCAATTGTCTATAGAGATTTAAAAGTACGTTGACTTTTTATTCTGTCTGTTCATTTTTTCTATTATTGATTTTGTTATATTTTTTTAGCCTGCCAATATTCTTCTTGATGAACATGGTCACGTGAGAATATCTGACCTTGGATTAGCTTGTGACTTTTCTAAAAAGAAACCACATGCCAGTGTGTAAGTAATAATAGTATAGACACATCTGATTCATAGAAACATTATCTATATGTTGTTGTTTTTTAATCATATCTAGAGGGACACATGGTTATATGGCACCAGAAGTTCTGGCTAAAGGTGTTGCATATGATTCAAGTGCCGATTGGTTTTCATTTGGATGTATGATTTATAAATTGCTCAAAGGGTACGTTTATTTATTAAATTGAATGAAAAAATCTACAAAATAAAGAAGATTACAAGGGAGTTTATTAAATTTTCATTAATTATTTGTGTTTTTTTAGTCACAGTCCATTTCGTCAGCATAAAACCAAAGATAAACATGAAATTGACAAGATGACAATGACCATGGTAAGCAATATCATGTACATTTTCAAATATCACAGAAAGTGAAAAATAGAAATAAGTGTTAAAAACAGTTTTATTATTTTCCTCTCTTTTCTTTGTGTTTATCTTCATCAGGACATGGTATGACGATTTGACTTGTGTTTTATTTTATATTTTTTCGTTCAAAACAAAGCCTCCCTAGTCTTGCTTTGCTTTTTGTTTTAAATTAGCAGATAATTTTGTATGTATCTAAATAGAAATATTTATTCCTTATAGACAATTGAATTACCTGAAACAATGACAAATGAAATGCGTGGCCTACTAGAAGGTCTTTTGCAACGTGATGTTGATAAAAGATTAGGATGTTTAGGAAAAGGGTAAATTGACTTTTTTCTATTGAAACTTTTCCCCATTATATTTTGTGTATTCGCTTTTCTTCATTTAGAGCTGAAGAAGTGAAAGATCATGGATACTTTAAAGATTTGGATTGGAAACAAGTTGCCTTACAAAAATTAACTCCACCTCTAATTCCACCAAGAGGTGAAGTGAATGCAGCAGATGCATTTGATATTGGAAATTTTGATGAAGATGATACTAAAGGAATTAAAGTGAGTACAGTCGTCTATTTCTATATTTCTTTTTTCATCTCTGTTTCTGTTTTCATAGTTAACGGAAGCTGATCAAGAATTATATAAAAATTTTCCTATTGTTATATCAGAAAGATGGCAACAAGAAATAGCTGGTAAATGTTCGATTTGCTTATCTCATTTGTAGGAATCTCGACTGGTTTTTGGTCAGCGGCAGACTAACATTGTGATGAAAAGTTTCCAAAAAACTTAAAAAATGAACTGATTCTACGTGAAATGCTTTGAGAAGACAGTCAGATTCGAAAAGATGCACTTCTCTTTCAATATCGATGGGAAAAATTTTGACGAATTTCTAGAGAGAGACTAGCAGTAAGGCAACTCGACTTTTGATTTCAAATACCACTTTGTTTTTTTCTTAAAACTATTCCTAAACTGAGAAAAATGGATTTCATCTATTCGGAAATCTTCAATGTCCACCTGAATGCACACTGTGCCCTCAATCGAGGTCCTTGCACATGTGAAAATAACGAGTTCACTTTTGTTAAAAATCGATAACTTAACTTTACACATTATATTTTGTTATTTTAGAAACTGTGTTTGACACTGTTAATCAAGAAACGGATAAAACTGAACAAAAACGTCGTGCTAAATTCAAACAAAATAATATTTATGATGATGAAAAAACGTCAGATCTCATATTGCAAGGCCAATTGAAGAAAAATGCTGGCACATTTGGATTTTCATGGCAAATACGTTATGCAAAATTATATCCAAATAGATTAGAATTACACTATGAAAAAGGGGATAAAGATCCAGAAGTAAGCAATTATTTATTATCTCTCTTTAACTAAATTTTTTTTAATAGAGTATCTAGGATAAAGAGAACTACCGTTTGGATAATTAATTTTAAAAAGAAAACTAGATTGATGTGTGTTTTACTCTTTCTTCTCTTGTTTAGGTATATACAATGGAACGTATTGAACATATCGATTCAAAAGAATGTAAAGGACAAAAAACAATTACAATTCATTTAAGAGGTGGAAATGAGCCACGATTAATGCTTTCACCACAAGTAAGAAACTATTTTATTCTTTTTCCCTATATCTCGTATTTAGATCATTTATTTATCTGCATGTATTATACTTATTATTGTTGTTGCTAACTTTTCATTTTCTCACGTGTAGTGTTATTCTACATTCATCTTTTTGTACATCCCTTGTTGCTTATCGTTTTTTTTTTTTTGTATAAATTTATCATTTCTATATATTTCTCTCGCTTTATTGTTCTTATTGCTTTGCATGGGTTGGTAAATGTGCATTTCTTCTCACATATTTGGCAAGACCTATTCTTTAAATAAGTAAAGTAAGCATAGTTTTTCTTGTCGTCGAGTAGCCTTTCATTAAGGTATACTTTGATGAGAAAGACAAACTATTTGCCACTTTAATCTATTTGGACATAAACAAGAATAACTTGTTTGACTATTCTTTTGACGTTCGTCGATTCGATTGAAGTGAGAAAAGTTCATTGTTGCTTGTACGCTTTTTATTAAATAGAGCTAGTAAGTTATTTTTTTTTGTTATTGTATTTTCTGCTTCGTACTTTTGGAAAATGCATGTGTATTTAGTCTTATTCCTCATCTTTCTTTTTTTGTCTGTTTTTCATTTTCCAATTTCGTTATGCTTGATTGTTTATATATATAATGCATGAAAATATATATTTTTTTTGTCCGCTTTATTGTTGAATGTCACCATGTTGTTAGTTTTATAAAATATGTACTTCTTTTGCTGTCATTTTTTGTTTCTATTTTTCATCTTAAACTAGGATGAAGTATCTTGGATTGAATGGAAAAAAGCATTGTATGACACGTTGGTTGCATCTCAACAACATTTAACTGTTAGTGAAAAAGCATCAAAAATTTATGGTGCAGATGTGACAACATCTACGAATATTCAACAAAAAAAATTATTGATACAAGACTAAACATTTTTTTTTTTCATATAAACTTAAACACACAGTATGCATTCTCTTTTCTTTTTATTTTTGTTTGTTTATTTTTTTCTAAAAACGCTTTTCTTCTGACTTAAAGAACAGTGATTTTAAAGTTTTTATGTCGTACTGTATATAAAAAACAACAACAGCAAATCTCTCTCTCTCTCTCTCTCTCTCTCTCTTTACAACAGTGTTTTTCTCTCTTTTTTCGATAGCCTGTATGTTGTTGCTGTTACGTATTGATGCTATACTTGTTAAACAAAAAACAAAAAAACCTATTTCTAGTCTGCGCTTATACTCGACAACATGAAGATTGACTGAAGATACTGGCAGTAAAATCCTACTATCCATGAAACTATCCTGATACTTTGTTTATGCTATATTAAATAAATCCGTATTTTGAGAATTAGATAAACATGTAACTGAATGATATATAGATTAAATAAATAAAGGGTGCTGGTTTTGAGAGCTAAAAAACATTATATCTTTTCAGTATTCAATGCGCTCTTTTAAATATAAAACAAACAAACTCACACATTGTTTGAACTGTACGAAATTGCATCGTTATCTCCTCTTCGACGAGAGTATTTCTTATCAAAACGGACGATATGTTGTCTTTCTCTTTCGCCAATTGCTCTTGTAATCTTTCCTATTCTTTGTGATCCTCCCATTAAATTCCAAAATCTATTTCTTGTCTTTTTTTTTTCTTTTTCTTTTTTAATGTGATGTCATTTCTTTCTAATAGCCTGCAATAATTGTATTTTTTTTCTTCAGTTCTCTGGTAACAAATTTACACATTTATGCATTTTTCTTTTTGTAAACATTCATACTACATTTTTCTCTTCTCTTAACTGTTGTTATTGTTCCTTTTTCTGTTCTTTTTTTTCTTCTCTTTTTAAGCAAAACATCACGACAAATGTGTGATGTATATGTGTGGAGGATCTGTGCTTTCTTCATCTTGTGTCCATCAACAACAATAATCAACAGAAGTCGTTTTATTTTGATTTCTTTTTGTCGATAGAAAGAAGAAAACATTAAATTCTAATTTGAAAAATAAATGTGGCATTTATTATATTTTATCCCTTTCGAAAGCAGCATGGTTAGATTTCTAATTGTAAATAACAAGACAAAACTCCTCCACTATATGGTTCATCTATCTATCTCAAAGCTATTGAGAAAGTTGAGTGGATGAAAGTAGTGTCAGGTGATAGGACGACCTATTTAGCCTGCGAATGATTCAAGTTTAGTTCTCTGTGTAATTCTTAAACAAAATGAGACGTTTTCGATTCAAAAAGAATTGTAAACAATTTGTCTTTTCTATAAAACATCTACTTGAAATGTATTTGATAATCAAGAGTACAGTTTCGAGTTATTTTTATTATTTGTTCCAGGTAAGCATCCGAGTTCTGCTCTTAGTTATTGTTGTCTGTTTATTTATAGGATGAAGTGAGTTTTAGTGAATGGCGCATCGCTCTGTCAGAAGCATTAAACAAATCAACAATGACATTACATTCATCGAAAAAAATTGGTCAGTTGTGTGGTGGTGGTGGTGGGCAATATCGTCTATTGACAACAATCAATGGACAATAATCTTTTCTTTTTTCTTTTTTTGTAAATAATTTTCAGCAGTGATATATAAATTATTCGACGTTTTTTGAATTATTTATTATTTTTTTTCGATCACTGTTCTAGTCATTTCACTCTCGTGGATACTCTTAGTCTAATATTTTTTCTGAATCTGCTGTTGCTGTTCTTTTTTTTTTATATTTGTTATCTGCTCATCATCAGCAGCAGCATTTTCAATAATAATAATAATAATAATAAATGTGCTAGCGGCTTATGATCTTATTTTTTTGTTTAGTTTGAATAGTGTAGCAGTATTATTGTTTCACCTATTACTCTGAATTGCCGTATTTGAGAAAAACAATAATTAAGTCTTTCCTTACAGATTGATTAATACGCTCTTTGTTGAAGATTTTTCGCTCCTGTCCTTTTTTTTGACACTTCGATGGTTCACAGCCATATCGTTAATATTTTCATAAGTTGAGGACCACCATTTTTCGTAAATATTTATAGTTAACGCAGCTATGTATAATTTTGGTGTTTAATTAAATAAGGAGTAAAAACTTTAATTCAATTTATTCATGATATTTCGCTCTATTTATTCGAGCATTATCAAACATGAACCTGAGAGAAACTGTTTCTCTTTCTCTCTCTCTCTCTTTCTCTAGATATATAGTAAAGTGAATGATAAAAGAACGAAAAAGATGACTAATTTTTGAATGACATCATTTTAGAAATATTTTTTTCTTTCAATTTTACGACCGAGCGAGCGAGAGTGAAATTAAAAAAACACTCAAAGACATTAGATGAATAAATTAAAGTTTTCACTGCTTATTTAATCAAACAATGGTACCACACCTTTTCAGTAGGATAATTTACAGAGTCTGAAAGTTCACAATGGAGGTATCACAATGATACATATCCAACTGAGCTGTCGGAATAGAGTTCAAATCTATGGATTGATGTGTCATTAAAATTGGTATTCTCTCTCAGTGGCAACACTTGATCATGATCGCGTTGCAGATGTTCATGCGGCTCGAAAGTCTGTACAAAAAGACGAATCCATTAGATTCAACTGGATCCGATTAGATTACATCGAACGAACTCATTCAGCATCACGTCATTGTGTTTCTCTAGCATACCATGCCGCGACTACTGTTTTGTTCGACTTCGGAATTGAAATACTGGAGAGCAATTGAGGAAACCATTGCGGATTTTAAAGTGTTGTATTATGATATAGCATTGTGTGAAAGCTGCGTTAGGCTTCGCAAACTCAGAGCGGATTGTATGTTGAAATCATATGCATTATGTTTTATCAGCTGATCTACAAAGAGGTTGAATGTATATTGTCCAACCAATAAGGGAGTATTGTCCTTGGTTAATTAAACAGAAAAATAGGATAGATTTATGGAGAGACTTTATGATGATCAGCCTCTATTTCTAAACTTTTTTATATTTAACGTCTAAGAAATTGATAAATTTAGCATGAATGTTGCTCAAAGTATCTATAATTGACAGTCAGCTACATACATCGATCAGCATCTTGATTATCTACATCATAAAAGCAACTATCACTAGAAGTAAAAATTATTTTAATTGAAACAATTGTAAATCGAAGAAGAATTTGTTGAAATTTAGTCACAAAATTCTCTTTTATAGATAATTTGTTTATTTTAATTTTTAGATAACAGTTATAAAATAGCAAGAAACTTGCACAAGTTAAACAATCGTTTAAATGACGAAGATCATTGAATAATTACTAATGTGAATTACATTTATCTCATGTCATCAGGATCTTGTTATCTGACATTCAAAGGGGTGTCTAAATTTTTAAATGCATAGGAATGAGTCTCATTAATTCTTTTAATCATTATTCTATGAAAATCTGTCATGTTTTTGTTAAGAAAACAGGAAAAGGAAAGACGAAAGGAAGGAATAACATCAGAAACCCACCAATCGACAGCAATTGATTTTGCAGCGATGGGTAGGATAAACGGTTCGAATATGAGTAAAGAAAGTGCAGTGACGGACGCTCAGTGTCAGCGATGAAATTCTTCTTTCTATTTACTTTTTCGAAGGAAAACATATGGCAGCTTATGTGACAGTTCAGAGTTAGAGAAGATAGATGTCACTTCATATTCTATAACCTATACCAAAGCAAGAATTTTAGAAGAAAAAACTAACTACTTTGTTTATGTAAATAACATATAATCTTTTTTAAATTGAAATAAAATTAAAAATTTCTATATTCTTTTTTTTTCTTGTTGCTGTTGAATATCTTATCTCAGTTACTAAACTAGCTGGCTTTCTTTCTTTCTTCCAAACGTTACGGATAGTTCGAACTAAGTCGTATACTAACTCAATATAATTAAAGATTTCTTTCGCTCAAGCTGAAAATATCTCTTTCGATATGACGATATGTACAGTCATTATGTGTTTTTTGATGGCAATGTGTTAACTTGGACCAAATGAAATGAAATTGTTTTTTACGCATATTCAGATTGTCTGAGTCAAGAAATCGTGAAATATATTTTTAAAAAGTTTCTTGAATGCTTACCTCTAACTTGTGGTAGGTCAATGGGGTGCTGGGCGAAAATCCTTAACTTTCGTGTATAGGTTTTTCGCTCAGATAACGGCAGAATTGGAAAAGAAGTTGTACATACGAATACTGTCATGATTATCTATCGAATGGTATACAAAATATATTTTTGTATGTAGCCATGAGGTGGGTGAGAGGGATGCTTTGCAATATAAATTTTTTATAATTTATGCTCATTAACTTTGCCATTTGAATCATCCAAAACACTAAATTATTTCACAGCGTAGCGAGAACTTTGGTAACAATTTTCAACTTCAACATTTTTTGGAAAAGTTTATTTCACCCAGGGACTGCCGTATAGTCCCACGTATGAGGGACTATACGTGTTTATTTCTTACACTTTTTCGATTTTTAACAACACAAACTCATATCATGAATATCATGATAATTGTAGGCGATCTGGAAAAAGTTGAAAACATAAAACAAAATCACATTTTATTTTTTTTGAAATTTAAATCTTACCTTTCATTAAATTAATTTGCACTGCTGAAAAACGAGAAAGTGTATGTAATAAGTATATATTTTTATGATCACGAACCATGCCAGTTGTAGAGAAGCATTTTTCGGAATTCTAGTGTTTTTGTGCCGCAATTGGTATATTCTTGAAGAACAAAATCTGAAAAACAGAGAAAGAAAGGTGAATGAGTCTCTTAAATAATAGTAACAAACTAATTTATGGTTAGCAGTATCATTTATCGTTATAAAAGTTATGTTTGATTAGAAAATAATTTTCGAGTGGTAATCGATCTCATTTAATCATGCAACAACATACCTGGATAAAAACTATCAAATTTTCAAAATTTCTTATTTCAATTCAATGAAATAAGAAATGAAAACGGCAATATCTGACTAATAAACATAGTTAGACGATGACTCATATGCCAGTTTGACATATTGAAAATGAAAAAAAAACAAATAAAATAAATGATAAAAAATACTACTGAGAATAAATTTCTTTTGCAAAAATGATTAGCTGCCGTTAACATGATACTGTCATATTTAAAGTTTATTTATCGATGGGACGAATCATATTTCTTTACCTTTTCACCATTCACAGTTTCTTATGTTCGGTTGTATATGTCCGTTATCTTATCTAGTGATTATTTGGAACTATTTCATACCAAAAGAAAGATTTCAATTGTTCGTCATTTGAGCAAAAAAAGAAAGATTAGTGTAAACTGCGAAGAAGTGACATAGCATGTACTAGTTCAATTTTTTGATTTTATCTTTTTTGCTTTTGTGAGGACACTGAAAGACAAACATTGTTGTACAATATGTATAGGATAAGAACAATAGATTTACTTTGTGTCAAACAGATTTTCGTTCTCTTTTTCTGTTCTCCATGTATTATTCATTAAAACTTGATAGTTTTGAACAGGTAATACAATGTAAACTTTACTGAATAAGTTTATTGATATTTTGTATCAATGTACCTTGTGCTATTATCGTTTATTGTGACCAATTGATTAGAATCAGTGATAGTTTACTGGAAAAGTATAAATTTTTAAATGGCTGTATAAACATAATCCTATTTCTATTTTAGATTGTTGTGTTGTTGGTTTCGTTTATATGTTTTGCTTGTATTATGTGAAAAAATTCGCTTGATTATATCTCAACTTTCTCTTCTTTTATATCAATATTTTTATTCAGTAATCCTTTTAAAATGACGTACTTAAGTAAGTAAAAGTTGCCAACCTTTTTAGTTTTGATTCTATCATAAAAGTTGATATTAAAATTTAATGACTATAGTCTTTTGGCATAAGTATTTCATTCAATGTAAAAATCGATAATTGTTGCTTAGAGAACTGCAAAGCCTTTTAGTGTATATCGTAAAAGCAATAATATAACTAAAATTATACGTCTCTTTCGTTTAGAACTATTTTTATTGCTTCTTATTTGTTCTGTTCACTCGCAATATAATGCACAACAGCAGTTACCCCCTCAACAACATCCACAACAAGGACAATTTCCATCACCACAACAACAACAACCTCAAGTATCAGATTTTCATCAACAAAATCAACATTTTCAACAGCAAAATCAACAAAATTCTCAACAAACAAATGGTGGTGTCTCTCAAAATCCACAACAACAAAATAATAATAATAACAATCGTTTACCATCACAACAGCAACCATTATCATCAATGCCCTTTCAACGTTATCTAGTTGGAAATTTAAGTGAATCATTTACTTTTAACGTAGCTCCACCCGGAACAAATGTACATTATTTGGGTTTAAATGGCGAATCATTATATGTAAATGGTTTAGGTTTTGCTAATAAAACACGCTTTCAATTTAATGAACAAACGAATGAATTAAAAATTTATGAATTAGATTCAGCTGTAGTAGGAACATATTCAGCCGTTGAAAATGGATGGAATACACATTATACAATTATTACAGCTATTAATAGTTAGTTAGAAGATATTTTATTTAAAAAGATGAGTGTAATTTTAATTGTTTTTGTTTCTTTTTATTTAGTATCATCATTTCAAATATCTAATTATCATGGTTCTGAAGATCGTAATGGTTCAACCTTAACCACATGTTCAGTGACATTAATTCGTAGTCGAACCGATCAAGTTTCACCTGAATATTTACCACGTCTAGATTTGTTTGTATCTACAAGGCCGATTGAAAAACGTTATAATGATTCGTTTGTTGGACAAAATTTTACAAGACAAGTTACTATTCAACGTCCATTAACAAGAGGTGATTATCGCGATAATGGAACAGTGACATGCCACATAGTATCAGCAAATGATAAAGATTTATATCTAACACAAACAGTTAACATTAATATTGAATGTAAGTAATCACATAGAAAATTAGTAGGATGTCATATTCGACTGTTAGCGTTCTTTTTCTATTACTAAGTAAATCTCTTCTCTCGTTTTTAACCAGTTTTATATGGTATTATGTTTTCATTTTAGATGGTCCAGATTTCGAAACCGGAGCATCTGAGAGTGTAACACTTGTAAATGAAGTATTAAAATCTGTGTCAATGGATTGTCAAATTGAAGCAAATCCACCGGCAAGTTATGTCTGGTACGATACGAGTAATACAACCACACCGTTGCAGGCAGCGTTGAGTTATCAGAATAATCAACAACGGCAACAAATGGAAGGAGGAGGTGTAGGAAATTCGTTCAGCGGTAGTGCTGGTGTGAGTAGTGGACGATCAGTATTTGGTATACAACGTCAAATACAACGATATTATCAACATCCGGGTATTTATTCCATGCAATGTCAAGCACAAAGTGGAGGAAAAACAGTATCACAAAATTTTAACATTACCATATTACGTATGTCTAATAAGGGAGCAGATTTGTAAGAACATAAACGATAATATGTCTGGTTTATTTTTTTAGCTCAAGCTATTGGAGAAAAATCTACTATTGATGGTAGTCAAAGTGGAAGAAGTAAGTTTTTTTTTAAAAGATTAATATTTCATAGGTGTGATGTGTTAGTAAAACTTTAAATCATTATTGTAGTGCTTCCGCTCCTTCTATTGTGTTGTCTAACAATGTAGTTGTGCTTCTGCATTTTGTTTAATTAATTCACAGGCAGCCAGTCGAATGATAGTAGAAGTGTAGTTGCTTCTTTACCTTATCGGAGTAAAACTACTAATGCAAAAAATGATGAGTTTAGGAATACTAGGAGCTTACACGCTTCATTTCACTAACAATATATTCCATCAGATAAAATTTAAGAGTTGACTGACACATTGTTTATAACAGAAGACATTCTTTTGGTGTCATACTTTTTCTTTTCTATTTTGAAAAGTCAATATTATTTTCACTGGTTTTAGGATCAGTGAATTGGGCAGCAATTATTGGCGGATCTAGTGGTGGCGCTCTTCTTCTGTTAGCTATAGCAATTATTATTATTGGAATCGTTCTTGTGCGGCGAAAAAGATCACGACCAAAACATGATGGGAGTAGTAAGTGTGTTTTACATCTTTCTGAGTTCAATTGAGAAACATTTCATTGATTTTACTAGAAACATAATGAAAAAAATGATGAATACTCTAACTGTAAAAATGCACGTTATGTGTAAAAATTGAATGGAATGCTTCTTAGACAGAAATAACTTTCATTATCCATCTCTCTTTACGACATCTGTAAATGTTTTCTTTATTTTGCTCTTCTGTTAACTTTTCTCATTTTCCTTTCAGATGACAACTTGCCAAATGAGTAAGTATACATTGTTTTTTTTACTATATTTGTTCGAATGAGTGTCACATCAAAAGTCTACTCACTCCCCACCTTCTAGAAAACAACATAAACAAAATGGTATTAAAAAAACTGCATGGGGTAAAAAACCATTGGGCGGTATTGGTAGTGATTACCATTTTAAACAACCTTTAACATCAATGTCCACTTCGCGTCTTGTTGATAATCAAGATCTACAAGATCAAAATCCTGTTCATACATCAGCTGAAACTGTTACACAATCCACATCGTTAGATCATCATTTACCACCTCCTATTCCTAAATATCCACATCACGTACAAGATTCACCAGGCATGAATACATCTAGTGCCGCATCCTCCTATAGACATCAACAACAAAAACAACCATTCCCAGCTACTCCCACCCATAATAATCATCATTTAGCTAATAGTCGAACATCATTGTCTTATCGCCAAGCAACAGCGGGTTTACCCGGATTTCAACAACATGAACAAATACAAGTAAGATCATCCCACTTATATTAAAATTTCATTCTTTCAAAATAGAAGTGACGTTTAAAAATAACAGACTTTAAGGAGCTTTAAGAATGATTTAAAAAATGTCGAATTTTTTTGTTCAAGAATTTCTAAATAACATTTCCTGTTGCTTTCAGTCAACGGATAAACGTAGTCAATCACCTACCAATACTGAACCAGATACATCTCTTCATCGTTCTCGCACAACAACTCCTTTTGGTTCACATAAAAGTTTATCGGAGTCTATTCAATCCCTCCAACGACAACAGCCAGCTCTTTCATTACCTATTAAGAAAAAATCTCCCATCTTACCACCAGTTCCACTAAAGCCTAATGTAACTGAACATATTTATCACAATCCTGCACAACTCATTGAACAACAACAAAGAGAAAATATTAAAAATAAACAATTACCATCTGCATTATTACGACAACAAGAACATAACACGTCGTCAGAATCAGATTTAGACGATGAAGAAATAGAGAAAAATGTGCCCGATGCTGATACCGCTGTACGTAACGAATATCATAACTTTAGCTTTTCTTCTTAGTAATCACAAATTATAAATAATTTGCACATATTGGGTATTGATCTTAAATCATCGTATTTGTAGTTAATCACTTAGTTTTGTTTCATTTTTATCTCATGCACATTCTAGTTTTTCTTGCTGGTAGTAGTTTCTACTAGGAACTTCCTTGATAGACGCCTATTATTGTTAATTTGTTGTCTTTTATCATCCAAGAGAAAGAAAGATTGAATAATTAATTAATGCTATTATGGAATTTTATTTATTCTCTGCTACAACTTTTGACACAAAACATAGAAATGTTTGCAAAAACAAATCTATTTAATTTGACAACCTTTTTTAGGCTGCTAAAATCTCGATTGAAAAGACTGTTGTTCTGCTTAGAAAATGCGTACTCTCTATAAGTATGAGATTTTATTCTCATACTCAAATAGTTGTCATATATTAAAGTATATTTACACAGCTTCTAAACATTTAATTTACTTTAATAATTTCAAGACTCTTCAAAAACAAAAAAATCAATCCCATTCACTTATTAGCGCTTTTTGCACTGTTTAATATTTTTAGCTTTGAACTACCAACTTTATCGTCTCCATTACACGTATAACATTGAAATACTCTTGTATATTTGTAGTTTTTACCCCAAAAATCTAAATTTCGTTGGGTAAGTCGATGAAAATGAGCGCAAGATATATATAAAAAGCTTATTGCCTTAATAATATGTATGCCTGCAAAATGTATTTTTATTTAAATTTCTAATTGACATATTTTATATTGTGCGCGCTACACATAATTACTCTACGCTTATTTTTGTTGTTATCTTTTACACTGACAGTTTATGACACATCACATTTTTGTTGGAGATCTTAAAGTTGAACTCTAACTTCATAACCAAATTTTGAATTTCATGTTAAAAGAAAGAATAACGAACGATACTCATTTCTAATCTCTTGACAATATCCATTTGTCTTTATTATTTTTGACTAAGACAAAAAAATTATAATTTTATAATTAATTTTCATATCATTTTATTCTCTTTTGGACTACTATCAGATATTCTATTTTTTTTAAAACATTTCCATTGTTTTTAGTATCCAGAAGAAACTGTTTGGTACGAAATTAAAATCTATTATATTTGCTTTCGTGTATTGTTTATGCACTAGTATTGTGTTTGGTGTGATACTCATTCATTTCTTCTTATTCTTATTTGTGCTGCATGTCTCTTATTATTTGCTGCTTCTTGTTTATTTGTGCTTAGAATTGAAATAGAAACACATAGTGTTAAATTGGCTAAAAAGAAACATCCACTCTCACATTCACATACTCATGATAATAATAATCATCGTCCGCTTGTAGTGGATAATTGTACTAACTATTATCAACAGGAAAACGGGGCCTATTCACCCTATTCAAGTAAAAAGTCATCATATAAAGGTCTCAGTTATCAAAATAAAGTAAGACTTTAATTAAAAGTTGATGCTCTATATAGTCTTTCTCATAATATCATTTATTTATTCTTACTCTATGTATGTATTTTTTAGATCAACACACCCGGTTACAATCAAGTGGATTTTGGTAATCATGCTGGAAGTCGTGGACCACTTCGTTCTATTACACCACCGCCCCCACAAAAAATAGCCGTTCATCATTCCGTTCATGTACAAGATGAAGCTCCACCATCATATCATCAAGTGGCATATATTCATCAAGAACCAACTGAAGTTTAATAAGGAATTATTTTCTCTTTTTATTTTTACTACCAGTATTGTGTATCACAAACAAATCACGTGCATTTTTTTTGAGTTTAAGGTTTTTCCTCTCTCTCTCTCTCTCTCTCTCAACCTCTCTTTTGTTTTTCTTTCTTTAAAAACGAGTTTTGTACATATGATTAGTAGCTATATATTACTCAATCAAAAAAAAAATGTAATTTTGCTCATTTTAAATAATTAATTACGTCCATGTAACTGATAGATATTCTCTTTTGCTCATCATTGTGCTAGTTTTTTTTGTCTGATAAACCGATGTTTTTCTAAAATATATAAACGTTTTTTAGATCCTTAAACATACGACTTGTCTCATCCAATTTTTAAATCAATTAAGGAGTGATTGATTTATTAACTATTTTTTCTTCTGTCAACTCTTTCTGGCTATGTATGTGTTATATCGAGCGAGAATGAAATATGTGCAAAAAAAGAAAAAGAAAAACTCATAACGAAGAATCATGTTTGAATCTCATCTTAGATTTTGTTGTTGTAAATATTTGTGTTTTGTGCCGGCATGTTTACTTCAGATACGTTTTCTCTTTTTAAGACAATTTTTTCTTTGTGTGTTTTTTCGCTACACGTCTAGATACATTCCAATTTTGTGCTCCATTATTTTTTCTTTTGTATGATATCAATTTCATTTTATAAAAACTTTTTTTTTGTATACATTAAGCTGTTTTTTTTTTCTCATTGCAACACAAAAATAATAAAATAATAGTTATTCTAATAATTCAACAAATATGCGAGTATTAATAAATAGCAATTGTCATATATAATAATCTTCTGATTTACTTCAATCAACTTCTCTCTTTCTTTGTTTCCTGGGAGTTGTTACGTGAAACTGATGATTATTGTGATGCATGTGATGGGGTCATTGTTAATACTACAAAAAAACAGTTTTTCAAAAGTAGAAAATGTGCTTGGATCAAAATTAACAAATAATTTAGGCAAGAAAAATATCGATGAAGGTAAGATTTTTACTGATCCCTGTAAAAGACTACTCTTGTTGTATTTTTGTCAGAAGAAATGTCGCTCACTGTAGTCGAATTTATAATGAAACGATTTAAGGATTCAAATTGAGTTTTATTTAGTAAAGTTAGTCCCGAGATATAAATCATTTTTTTTATGTGCAAGTATTTTCGTCTTCCTCATTTTAGGATTATGTAGACGCATATCCAACTATACAAACACAAATAACTGCTGATGCACGACGTTATTGTATTGATGTCGAATATGAAAGAGTAACAAAGACAAATATGCAAGGTGAAGCAATCGCTGCTCTAATGGAATGTTAGGAAGTACTGGATACACCGAAAAAACAAGGGCAACATTTCATACTGTTAATGGACTAATATTTTCAAAATGAAATCGCACAAGTTAGCGCAGATTGCCTCTGATTCTAAATTATATCAAAATATCCGTGATCGTGTACTGTATTCATTATGAATGCGGTTTTATGCAATTTTTCTACTAGACTTTGATATGGGTTACCCAGAAAACCTTGGTTTTTTGGACTAAAATCAATCTATTTTTCTCGACTTAAAAACACTTTTTGTGAAAAATAATGATATATTTTGAATCGGTCGAATGACGTATAATTTGTTAATTTTATAAATAAACAAATAAATTTTGTTTCGACTTTGACTTTTTTTTAATTGTATTAACATTTGAAACATAATTAAGCAATATTATGCGAAAATAATTGTTTTTTAACTAAAAAACTACATGTCCACCGACTCTATGGGAAAATGTCTACTGTACTCCTTCACATTCTTTTCACGAAAAGAGAATAAAAATTGCATTGTCATCAGGACAACAATAAAAAAAGAAGCTTACTCTTAATGACGAAAGAAAAAATTAGAATAAATATTGTGGTATGATATAAATACTGCTGGGGATTACAGAAGTGAGTTTTATTTTGGATTTTTCATTAAACTGCAAATCAGTAATCACTGTGGTATCATGTCTTCAATAGGATAAAACTTTCATTTTCATAAATTCTTCTACTTTTATCTTCCATCACAGTGTTATCTTAGTAGCCATAATTCTAGAAGATAGAACGTTAGCTATCCATATAAGGGGTGCGGCATAAAGAACGGACCATTTCGTATTTTCTATTTTTCTCGCGTTTCTTTTGGATCCTAAGATTAGTGGGTTTTTTTTGCTGAAGAACGAAGTTTCAAGAATACGTTAAAAATTGACAGCTCCCTATTTTCAACGATGTGCCAAAGTAAGAAACGGAAAACATGATGATCGAAGTTTTGATTTTGCAATTGGATAGAGAAGAACAATCATTTCCGATAAAAACAAAACAGACTCGATCGAAAAATCTTTTGTTTTGATGGTGTTATGAGACTTTTACTGAAACCATCGCTATACCCAGAATTTAAAAGTTAATGAAAAACTGCGCGACAACCGACAAAAAACATGATTTCTCCGTGTGTTTTCATGTGAAAAAATTTGAGATGTTACTAAAAGACAGAGCGAATACAGGGCTACAAAATGATTAATTCAATTTTTCTTACTTTCAAATCGTTAATGCAGGAATTCGTTTTTGAATTTAGAAAATTTTCATGTTTTTTCCCTTTCGTATAATTTGAGTAGTTTCCTTGATTGAAGTTCTAAAATTAAAATTTAGGTATGGCTTTGTAGAGTATTTCGCGGCGCATCTTTTGAAAAAAAGTACTAACCTTAGAGTCCTAAAGAAACACAAGAAAATAGAAAATATGAAATGGTTTGTTCTTTATGTCGAACCCGTTATTCTGTGATTCTAAGTGGAACCAGTTTTGTTAAAATTTGAGTAGAATATGCTGCCAGGATCCCATCAGATACAATCGTACCATAAACTAACAATTCATAAATTCAGTTATTTCTTTTTCATTTCAGAATTAAGATATATTAGTAATGACAAATACAAAGGCATCAGTAGCTGGCGAGTTTATTAGACGAGGTATGTAAAGAAGTTTTGATTCATAATCAAAATGTTCCTTTTATATGAGACCAAAAGTTTATTATTTGTTTACGAATTCATTTTTTTTTGTTGTGCTGAACCAAAACGATAACTATTCTATAGATGGATATACATTTTAATTTATTTTCTTGAATCTCAACACTTAGGCTCTTCGTCAACATGTTTGACCAGACAAGAATACATCAAATAAGATTGAAAATTAAATTTTTCATAAAAATATTTTTGTTAAAGCATCAATATTCAGAAATTGGATAAAACAAGATGATAAAGCAGAATTTAAAGCTGAACCAAATCGATACCATATTTATGTTTCATATGCATGTCCATGGGTAAGATAAGCAAAGATGAATAATTTTATTTATTATCATTTTAATTTTATTCTTTTTTTTTTATATAGGCACATCGTACATTAGTTGTTAGAAAATTAAAAGGACTTGAAGATGTTATATCTTATTCAAGTGTTGATTGGCTCTTGGAAGACTATGGTTGGGCGTTCGGTTCAAATTTTCCCGATCCTCATCATCCAAATTTTACTCATTTGAGACAGATTTATCAATTGCAACAGCAAAATTTTAATGGTCATATAACAGTACCCGTTCTGTTTGATCTTAAAGTACGATATAGATATATGAATTTATAAAAATACTATTTATTATTTTCCATTATTATTTAGACTCAAAAAATAGTAAATAATGAATCGTCTGAAATAATTCGTATGTTAAATTCTGAATTCAATATGTATGCAAAATATCCTGATGTTGATCTTTATCCAGAATTATTACGAGAAAATATTGATTCAATTAACGATGAAGTGTATACAAAATTAAATAATGGTGTTTATCGAGCTGGTTTTGCTAGAACACAAGAAGCTTACGAAAATGCTTGTCATGATGTATTTGAGGTACTTGATAAATTAGAGATTATCTTATCAAAATCACGTTATTTGGTCGATAATAAACGATTGACAGAAGCTGATGTTCGATTATGGACAACACTTGTAAGATTTGATCCTGTTTATGTTACACATTTTAAATGTAATAAAAAATTAATAACAAAAGATTATCCAAATTTATATGGTTTTCTACGTGAAATATATCAAATGAATGGAATTAAAGAAACAGTTAGAATGGATGAAATAAAAAAACATTATTTTGCATCACATACATCTATTAATCCGATGAGAATTGTAGCCGCAGGACCAGAAATCGATTATGATATTCCTCATAAACGAGATACTATAAACTAGATAATCCTTTAGAAAATTGAACAAACGACTAGTAATTAATCATTATTTTCTTTTTTCATATTTTCCATTTTCTGTTTTGTTTTACTATATTTAATCGTGAGAGAAAATTGAGAATATAATACGAAATACAGAGTAGAAAAAAAAGCAATTGTATATTGAAAACTATTAATCAATCTCAGAAATAAAAAAAAAACAGAACAGATTCATATAAAATAAAGCGAAATATCAAAATGGTAAAAAAATGATTTTTTATCACAAAATAAAAGATAGTCTACTATTTTTTCAAGTAATGTTTGATAGAAGTTGGTAGAGGAATACGATCTTAGCCCATTCTATAATCCAAGATTGGTGTACGTCTTTTTATAAAAAAATAAACAAACTCAAAAATCTATCTCAAAGATGGATTTTGGATTCTTTCCATCTAGTATGGAAAACATGATTGCCCTAGTGAATGTATTTGAGATCAAGTACTTAAATACTTATAAATGTCGAACCACGCTTAGACAGATACTTGAAAATCAGTAAACTTACCTGACGAGCTATTTCTTTACAAGTAAGAAGAACTTCCACTCTCATCGAGAAAATTTATATTATGTTAGTACTAGTGTTGGCCATTTGATAAACATCTAATTTTGATTTAGAAGCATACCGATATGAGAAATCATTGATGGACGTTCAAAATTGAAACCAATTTTTAATCTTAGCATTTTTACTCGATTATGCAACATTTTTTCATCAAATTTGTCTCACCTACTGCGCGAAAGTCTTGACACAAAATGTTCATTCATTTTCAGAACACTTATTAGCAACCGTTGAGAGTCAATTTTTTTTCTAGCTTAATGTTGATTAACTGTGAACAAATGTTTGAAAGAGCCAAAAATGAAGTCTGTACAAAGAAAAATAGGAGTTTTTGCGTAATTTGTAGCTTGTATAGATTGTACTTTGAGACAGTTTGAAATCGGTAATATTGTAGAGCATTTAATTCTCTACAACTTTTTCCTTGATAACTTAGCGAAATGAACGAACAAAACCCTTTTTTAACATAACGATAAAGAAGAAAAACAGAAGACAAAAAAGAGGAACTAACAAAGTTAGTATCCGTTGAGATGAATTGTCCACCGACTGTTCACCTCTTCGCACGATATGACAGCGAACATGAACATAGGAGATAATAACACCTCCTTTTCGTGTTCAAAGTCCGAATAATTGCTTATGTCCGCTCCACGCTCATGAATGTCAATTTCGAAAAGTACATGGCGAAAGCCTTGAGCTTTCTCTCTATCTAGACTTGTTCAACTCAAGCCAAGCAGTTGGAAGGTTGAACTCTGAACACTCGGTAGCCAGACTGTCATTTGTGACCGGCCGCCCAAGAGCCAAAGAAGAAAGACCTTCTTTTTTTTTTTTAACGTATTTTTTGTGTGACTTCACCCTATACTGTATTTTCGGTAATTTGGGTATTATACTACTATACTCTTTAGTGAAAACTGTTTCTGTGTATCATCACCAATTCGCTCGTGTGATCATTGTGCTTTACATATCGTCCTATCATTAAATCATGTTCAGAAAAGCCTTTCACAACGAAACATTTTCAACTATAAAGCTATAAGAACTGGAACTACTTTCGTTATTTAGTGTTTCAAAATCTCTCTTCTTATTCTGGCAAATGCTTTAATACGCTCAAGATACGTGTGGTACCAATCTACAACCATTTCTACTTTCACTGCTAATCTACTATGACAAAATTGTACAATCATTGTATAATATTGATATGTAGTATGTAAGTTACAGATAATTTTAATGATTTAAGCATTTCTTTCTGATATTTCGACTTTAAACGGCCCTTCTCAAACTTTTTTCTTACAATAATAACAGTAGATACATCTACATAATATTTTTCCTTTCGTTTTGTACATGAGAAACAAAAAGAAGAATATTCTTTTTAAATATGATATCATATTTAAAAAAATATCAAAAGAAACACTTAAATCATTAAAATCAGCTGCAATTACTGTACAATTTTGTCAAAAAATCGTTGCTCTCCTTCTTATAACTTTAAAAACATTAATCTACATTGATAAGTGAATTCATAGCTGTAACAGGACAGTATAGTTTATATTAGTTATTTATTAGTGACATTGATAATACCCATAGCAGTAATAAATATTTCGACACGTTCTGTATTTCATTCGCTGTTGAAGGCGACAGTGTTACGCAAAGGACAGGAGGTATGTTTTGTTCAAATATTCATGGTATAATAAATTAACTCATCCTTTCTTCCATTTCATGTCCAGTAACAGTGGAGTAAAATGCGATGTCTCATAGAACATGGTAGCTTGGTGAAAAACACTGATAACGCTACCATTATGAAAACAGCATAAAATATTTAAAACAAATAATGTGTAAAAGATAACTTGTTCATATAACGCTGTAAGACTAAACTTTCTTTAAGTTGATCGTGCTATACTGTGAGAGTTCAGACACATCACATTCATAAGAGTGAACATTTTTCTTAAAATTAATTAATAAGCAAATCCCATAGATTTAAAGATGTAAGATCGTTAAAATAAATGATCCAGTTTGAAATAAACTATCAGCGTTTGCTTTCTTATCAATTAAATGAAAAATGTTTGCTGTTTAAAATAACATTTTCCCCTATTTTTATTTTATTTTATTTTAAACTTTCTTCGAATCAGAAAAATGCCCATATTTTACAACATTTCATTCGAAAGAAGAAAACAAAATTTCCTAAGTAAATTGAAGAATTGATAAGAAAAAATGATGTCATCTATCTCTTTTCACTCAGTGTATCGAAATAAAATCTATATGAAATGATAATACAATGACAGATGCTTGAGTCACTGTGATCAATAGAATGATCACATGAATAAAAAGGTGTCATACGAAAAATAACAACAACTGCATTTAACTTGAACCAAAAGAACTCTTCTCCTCACATGTATGTTCTCACTCTTAATGTTCATTATCATAGTAAACAATAATTCTAGTTTTCTTATATTAAAATTTGAGAAATAAAAAAACATTAATTTTTAACTAAGAATAGTTGTATCATTTTATATCATAGTAAATAATAATACTTTTCTTTTACCTATATCATTTATGACTATGAAATACGATGACTCAACACTGTCTTATCTTCTTCTCGGAAGAATAAGAAATAAGTTGTTAACATACGTAAAGCAACTTTTCATTGAAAATAAGAATAAATGGTAGGTTTTCAGAGAGTTTATGAAATATAAGTTTTCTAATGATTCAACATTTTAGACTGAACAAAAATCTGAACCGGTGTTAAAAGTGCTAATTGTTGGTGATTTAGGAACAGGAAAAACATCAATTGTTAAACGTTATGTTGAAAATTATTTTTCAGAATATTATAAAGCAACGGTATCCTTTTCTTTCAACACATTCTATTCATCAAAATTCAACTGACATATTTCATCTTAACTTTATGATATAATCAATTTAGATAGGATGTGATTTCGCATTAAAAGTTCTCAAATGGACCGACGACCAAGTTATTAGACTTCAATTATGGGTATGTACGATAATACTTTTAAAAATAAAACAAAAATTTCTCAACTTTCATAATATAATACATTCTTCATATTTCTAGGATATATCAGGTATTTAAAAATAATTAAAATTTAATTAAAATTCATTTTTAAACTTTTATTGATTTAGGTCATGAACGTCTAGGTAGTTTAACACGAATTTATTACAAGGATGCTGTGGGTTGTTTACTTGTATTTGATATGCATAAACCAACCACATTTGATGGCGTTTTAAAATGGAAAAATGATTTAGATAATAAAGTACAATTATCAGATGGAACTCTATTACCGTGTGTCCTGCTTGCTAATAAAGTACGTTAAACTAATAGTGATTCGAGATGGTAAGATGAATACTCCAAATATTCAATTTCAAGGTGAAGGGAGATGAAGAAAAACGTTTTTATCTATTCTAAGCCAGTTTATTTATTCAAAATCAGAGAATAATAAGCAGAGGTCTCAAAATTACAATTTAACATATAATAACAATGAACTACTTCTTACAGTGTGACTTACCTAAACAAGATATTGTGACTGACATAGAACAAATGGATGATTTTTGTCGTGTAAATGGTATTTGTAAATGGTTTGAAACATCGGCAAAGAAAAATTTGAATATTGAAACTTCGATTAGATACCTTATTGGACAGGTAAATATCTGACTTTACCAATTAATAATGAATATTCACAATTCATAGTTCTATATTGATTTCAGATAATGAAGAATGAAAATCAAATAGAAAACAAACCAAACAGATCTGATACATTAAATATTCGTTATGATGAAAAATTAACAAAATCGAAAAATAAAATAGGCTGTTGTACACCAGCAACAAGATAAACATGAAATATTTACTTCCTATTTCTCATTAAAACTAAGTTTTTTAATATATCCCGAATTATGCTCTTTTATACTAACGGCTTATGAGATTGGATATATTGATGATAATTTAGAAACCAGTTTCATTTGAAAGTGTAGATGATGCACAAGAGTGTTTGGGATAACGGGTTTTCCTCTTTTTAATGATGAGATCAGAGAACGATTCAAATGCTCTTTATAGCAAAATACCGTGCTGCATTTATGGCATCAATTCGAAGTGTTGCCATTGTTTTGTAAAGATATTCCAGGCAGAAATGTTAGATTGGGTTGAAAAATAATACATAATTTAGTGTAGAAATATGACTTTAGCCTAGAAGTTTTAAGAAATATTGCCTTCAGTATCTATGAGTTAGTTGTATTAAGTTTTAGATCTTCATAGTGATTAATTTAGAAGATTCATTGACAATAGCTGGACACTAATGCACAGAGGAACGAATATGACGAATCAATAGCCATCCTTTCTATTATAAAATGCATCTTTATTGTATGCACATTGTAATTACGCAAATCATGGGAAATCATAGGAAAAAAGTGTCAGTTGAATATTTGTTCACCTTTTGTTTTAAACAGATACTATCGTCATAGAACTCGATTAGATACGAGCCTTTGCTGAAATTTTCAAATCTGTTTCTCTGCACATATTTGAATAAATTACCACATTATGGTATTGTTGGATTTTCTTGATGCATTGTTCAAATTTGGTTAATATCTGCTTCTCATCTACTTGGAGAAGTACAGATACGTTTCGTAGATATCAATGATTGCAGCTATAAACGATTAAATTGGTATTGGTTGATGATTACGCTAAAAGATCTTCGTACAATATCACGTTTTACTCACTGAGTAAAATCTTGAAGATATTCAATATCTTCAAGATGCCACGTCCGCCTCAGAGCAACATACGGCAACAATTTCAGTATATTGTAATTTCTCCAAAGCGTTTGATCAGTTATGACTAGGGGTATGACTGTTCCATATCAACTCCTATCATAGGAACTGTTGAAAAGTTCTTTCGAACGGAGCTGATATGCTTGAACAGTTCTTTTGAAAGAAGCTGATATGTTCGAGCAGCTCACTAGTCGTCTAGACAAAGTTTAAAGGTCCCGAATTTTCATTAGACGTTCATATCAGCGAAGTCCTGCGATCATAAATAGAAGCACGTAAAAGGGTCAATTTTTTGTTCCTCAGATAAGTATGGTTAAAAAGTAAAATAAAAGAAGTATGATCTTTGTAAGAAAAGCAGACTAAAGAAAAGATTAAAGTTTATCTTTTACGAACATTGGATATTTCTTGAACTTTATATAAGTTTTTAGCTGAGAGAGAAGACCGTGTTTTTCGAGCAACACAGCCTGCGATTGAGAATGTGCTCTCACCGGGGACTGAGATCGCGGGTATAGGACCGAATCGACGTGCCATCTGGTTCAATATTGGAGGTAAAGTTGAATGTTTTCTCCAGAATGACGCAAATGTATGACCGTTCTTCTCCAGTGCTTCGAGTTGAGCAAGCTCTTGCTTCAGCGTGAAAGCTTTAGCAGTACTCGTTGAAAAAATTTCAAAAAATTTCAATTTTTAAAAATTCAAAAGAGCTGTTCAAACATATCAGCTCCTTTCAAAAGAACTGTTCAACAGTTCTTTCGCTCAAATGAGCTGAACTTATGAGCTGGAACTGTTACAGGTCTAATTATGACATGATAGATTGATCGTTGTTTAAACTTTATTTTCATAAAAGTAGAAGAAGAACAAGCTAGTAGGATCCAGGATGGAATCGACTAGTCATTTTATCATTCCTGAGAGCCTAATGTCGAAAAGCAAATAGCAGTAAAAAAGAGCAAGAAAAACTTTAGAACGAAAAAGAAACCCATAAATTGAATGAGGAAGGGTGTGGTACAACAAAGAAAAAGTATACGATTTTAAATATCAAATCTTAAAGATTCTTCCATATAACATATAACTGCACGATAGATAACGGAACAACGATCCTTACACAGTTCCTTATGAAGAAGTAGCAGAGTCTTAAGAAAACAATCCACGCTAGGTATCGAATCTTCTATGGATTTAAAAAGTTTAGTTCGCTGACTGGCATAGAGAGAAAAGTCTAGTAAATGATGCTTCACTCTTTCTTTCTCACCTCATAAACAGTTTTTATCGGGTGCTAGTGTTTTGATATGCAAATCGTTGTTCAGTGACGAGAAATCACAACGCATTTGGTAGTATAGTTTGTCTACTGCGCGTTTAACGCTATACACGCGAATACTCTTTAGAGTGTCTATAGTTGTTTTTAGTTTTGATCTGAAGGTTTTTAAATTATTACATAGGCGCATTTCTTAACTTAATTCGTTCCAGTTCTTAACAGCGGTGGGAAAGAATGTGTTTTCAAATCTTTTACTGTGAAAACCCTTATTCATGACCCAACTGTCTTGAATTTTATTCTCCACTTGCGATCTAGTCTGATGACTACTACTATACTTATG